TTAATATATATTGTATTATAATTTAATATTTAATAAATCTATTTACCACCTGATTTTTGAAATAATTAGACAAATTTGTTAGTTTTGAAAAGTAATTCTTATATGTAGGTTTTGTGTATTGTTCCTTTTTTGCTACCGCTAACTACTTCAAACCCACACAGAAGCTCTATAGAATCATTTCGCCCTATTATTGGGCACAAGAGTGACATTGTTTTTGGGCTTGCCGAAATAATGAGTCCTGGGTCGGTGGCAAGGTCAATTAAGGATTCTTTAACGGCTTTATTTTCCATTGCGCTTTACCCTTTGAATCATGCGCAGATGGTGGAGTTGGGGGCAGGACATGCTCTGTTTTCATTAATTCTCGAAGTTTCGAGTAGGGCTTGTTGAGGATGCCACAGCTGTGATTGCACAAGTTGCAGGGTGTGAAGAGAGCTGGGAAGCATTCAAGAAGGTTTCGGCGCTAGGAGTGTTAGTGGATTTGTTTGATAATTCCACGGGATCGAGTTATAGGACTAAGGAGAACAGTTTTTCCATTTGTACAGGGCAGGTTTGATAGGGGTGGTTGACAATCTCTCATATCAAGCGCGGTCCCACGTGAATAAAAAATTCCAAAAATAAAGTGGACCCCCCAATTATGTGTTGGTCATCCATTTTTGTCAATCATGTCCGGTACAAGTAGCGTGGTTGCAAAGGAGAATTCAGTTTCTGCACTGTTGAACTTGGTGCTGTGTGGGGGTGAGGAGGTTGCCAAATTTGTTTGCGGAAAAATGGAAGAAAGGGTGCTTGATGGGATTATTGATGCGTCACAGAACGGGAGCGAGAAGATGAAATGAGGAATTTGAGTCGAAGGATTTAGAAGGATTTTGGAAGGGATAAAGTAGAATAATAAAGTTTTCGGGAAAAAAATGAAATGGAGTGGGTGAAAAATTAAGTTTTAAAAGTTTGGGATTGTTAATGACATGTATAAATAAAAAAAAAATTGGGTATAATTTGTAGAAGAGAGTTTTCAAACGGGGTTTCTGCTATTTTTAAGTAGGGATCGCAAATGAAACGTTTTTTAGAGATTTTCTGCTATTGATCCAAATTTTAACCGTATCAATCCAATCCGTCAGGTCAAACATACAATTAACATGTGCATTGTCGACTAGGCACAAGGCCAACGTAAAAAAGGATGAACGTATAACAGCTGAAAGAAGCACAATCAAACGATGAACAAATTGATAACGATTCAAATATTCTCGGTACTCTATTAACGAAAAGCCAACCATTCTTATACATTAACAGATGCAAATGCTCCGTCTACCAAAAAAAAAATAGATGCAAATGCTCCACTCATTTACAAAAACTCAAAATGGATACCAATAAGATAATTTTCAGATATACATGCTCATATTCTGGAAACGAACAAGTACACTTTACTATATTCGTAAAAGCAACTACAACAATCCAGGGAATATCAGAGCCTTGAGTTTTTTCTCCTGCTACTTGAGTAAAATGCATAAAAAATAGAGGTCACTGCTGTTGCTCATATATCTGCATATACGCTTCAGAGAGCGCAACCATCTGGGGCAATGTCTCTGACACATGAAGGTCCTGCATCTCATACCTGGGAGGCAATAGATTTGTTAACAATAAGTTGGGGGAGTAGAAAAGCATAAACCAAAAAAAATGGTCATCTAAATTCACCATAGTTCTTCTGACTTCCGCTGAACAAACACCCTGTATGATCCTTCACCGGGTTTACCATCATGAACAATATTGGCAATTAAATCAAACTTAGATCGCAGCTTGCTGTTCTCTCTGGGTGCAGGCAGAGGAATATAATCCTTCAGTTCTAGATTCTTCACAGGAAAATTAACTGAGACAGAGAAAAGGTATCTCATTATAATCAGTTGAAATATGTTGCCGACTACCACTATCTCAGATTAAAGGATGAAATGAAAATGGAATAGTTCTTTAAGCATGTCAAAGCACAGTACTTTTGCTTCGTGTTTAGCCATGGAAGAAGTAAAAACAGACGTGGGTCAAACAGGTTTCTGAAGAATATAATGTATATCTTGAATAACAAAGGCGACCACCAGGACATCAGAAAACTGTGCATAGACAGGGTACTAAGAACTACAGGTACTTTCTAGAGTTAGCAAGTTACGTTATAAGCACTTAAATATACCGTTGACTTATGTTATATAGCTTATAGGCACGTCTAGTACGCAAAATAAGCTCTAAAACATATTTCTAAGGAAAGAGGTACTTTTTAAGTAAACCCAAGAGGATTAGTTATGTGGATCATTTGATAGAAGGTACAGAGACTCCTGAGACAAGTACAACCCTGCTACGACCTTGCACGCTGATTTACTTGGAAGGTGACTTTACTACAACATAGCATAAAAATAGATGCTCACCAAGAGTAGGATTTTTCTCCACGAAAAAATTATTCTTAGTAAACCTACGCACGTGCAGAATAAGATACTGAGGCAGTTTCGTAACACGGTATCTCATCCTTGCTAAACGAGGCCGCACAACTTCCGTTACAGACTCACCATCGAACTTCTTAAGTATGTTGAAAAGTGGTACCTGAAAGCATTTTACCGGGTTGAATAACGAGTTCAATTTTTTAACCGAGTCGCCAAAAGAAAATGAACATTGTTATCTAGTATCACACAATGCCAGGAATATAAGGCGTGTTTACACAAGTTATCCATTTAACTTTTTACCTGTGATCAATACATCTATTGCGTGAAAGTAACTTGGACATTCAGCAATGCATTTTACATGAGAATTTTATTAAAAACACACAGGCAATATCCTACTTAAGAGTACATACGATTTAGGAAAAACATAGCATGATGAAGAAAGAAGATAACAGGACCTCCTGTATGATGAGACTTATTCATCACAGCAAGGAAAGGAGGGCTAAGCCATGCATTGGGAGAATTTATCATTGAGAAGAAAACGAAGAATCGTGTCAATTATGGGGATAATGTGGAAATTATTTTGGCACCTCGATGTCAAGCAACTGGAATTATTCTCAGTTAAAATGAGTACTGATGATACTCAGCAAGTAAAAGAAACCTACTCTCGAGTCTTCATCTCAAGAAATCAACATCCACCCCCTAGAAAAATACATCTGTAGATACTAGCACTCTTCAAACAATTTACACGTCAAAATGTACCCATGTAGTTCAAAAACATTTCAAGGTCAACACTAAATCAAATAGATAAATGATGAATTAGTCTGAGCGATGAGCGTATAATGATCAACTTGTTTATTTCAGAAAATCTTAATAAGGGTGTGTTTGAACCACATTATTTTCGAAAAATGTATTTTGGAATAGTAGATTAATGAAGAGTGTATGGTTGAAAAAGAAGGGAAAGTTATTGATATGATGGAAAATATTATGTTATTGAAGAATGTGTGGTTGAAAATAAGTAGAAAAATGAAAATGAAAATTTTAATGTGGCTCAAACAGGGGCTAAAAGCAAACTTAGAGCCAAAACTCCACTCCCGAAAATTATTTTCTACAAACAATTAATCTCTATTTTGTTCTAGAAAAACACAAGTGCCAAGAAGATAAACATAAATATTCTAACATTTAATAAGCATGTGGGCTGGGACAAGCTACTTGGATCAAAACAGATCACTTCTTAAAAAATATCGAGTCTGAGAATATAGCAAGTAGACCTGAAGAAATATCTTCTCAGCCACAAACAGGAGCTTCCTATTAATAAAACAGAGAAGAATATACAGATGCATGCATAAATGAAAGCTGCCTCCCAAATTCATTTAGTTGTTTTAATAGAATTTGGCAATACATCCCCACAAATTGGTCAAGGATTGATGCCTCATGACAATCCCAGTTCAAGGTAGGAGCTCAATAGGCGCATTACAGGCAGCCTAGTCTTCACTGGATAGTAACCAAATGACACAAAAGTGAGTAGCCTTTTTAAGTAGCTAACAAACAAAAAGGAGTGAGCTTGTAATTAGACATGGCCCATCCGATGAAGAAAGAGTGCCATGGTAGTCGAGACTGCCCCGATGTACCCCTCCAACTTCAGCAAACAAAATCCACCTCAATTAAAAATAAGAAGTGCCTAAATATTTTGAAGTCAAACCTGTGGGATAATGTTTTTCTCCATGATGTCCTTGAAAAGAGGTGGCGGCGGCAAGTCCAATCCAAGCATCAAGAATGGCATTCTACTTGTATCCATGACAACTTTATTCACTTCGGTTCCACCATCTTCTTCATTTCCATTGTTCTGGCCATCTCCATTTTCTTTGTTTTCTGCGATAGCTTTTCCATGGATCTCTTTCACAACCTCCAATTCTCCCTATAAGAAGTTTTTGCACATTGGATACAACAAAACAAGAAAAACTGCACAAGGGCTGATAAGGAAGATGGAAATTTAGTGAAGAGAAAACCTGAAAACACTGGTGAATGATGCTGCGTCCATTTTTTGAACTTCTAAGATCTCCATGCAACGTGTTAAGAAGCCATGACATGAATTCAACAGGGTCAGACTGTGCTCCTATTCGAAAACGTTTTTTACTAGCTTTCATAACTGCCTGCAGGAACTCGTGTGGGCTTACCTGCAATTGTGCAGTGTTATGAGCAAGTGAAGATAGTTGACAAACAGATAAGACATGCATGTGAAAACAGTTTCAAACCTGTCCTTTAAAGTTTCTTCCATGCCATATCTTTCGTGTGAGTTCTCCAAATCGATGAACAAGAGAGGATTTGCTGTGTTGATAATTTTCAGGGATAAGAAAGAAGTTCCTTAAGGGAGTAACTCGCATCAAAGATTGTATAGTGACATTAACAAAGTCGGTCTCTTTGATATTATTCAGCCCCACCTATTCCAATCCCAGAGAACTAGTATTAGTCTTGGAAAAAAAAAATATATCTATATATATATATAAGATTGATATAGCGATAACAGTAACTTTAATTAGATAAAAAATACCAAGCACAAAGAAGTCAACTAAATACCATTCCAGGAAGATAATCTGACCCATCAAGTGCCCTGGACCATTGTCTATTCTTATCAAGCTGCTCAACTTGTTCCCTAGTAAACCTGTAAAATATGTGAAAATTTGCATGACAAAACCATGGAAGTAAGACGTGATATAGCAAGGCAAACAATGGGAATAGAAGGAACTGATTGCATAAAGCAGAAGGAAATAACAAATAGCAGCACCAAAATTCCAGGAGAAAAACTTTGATACGTGCATGATTTCACTTCATTAGACAAAAAATTTAAATAAAACATATGGTTAAGCTGCCGAAAAAGGTAGTATCCGCTTCATAAGACTGAATGGGCCACAAGAACAAGAAAAAGCAACTACAAATTCTAAAAGTTTAAATAAATTACGCAGCAACGTGCCTTGGGTTAAGTACATATCGAATACCATCAAGCGATGGGTCAACAACTTCATATCCATCGGGAAGGCAGTAAACTTTCTCTGTTCGAAGATTGATGTAGACATGGTGCCCTGCTTCAAGACTATGAGTGTATGCATGAGATTTTTGTCCCCTTCCTTGGTAATACTTCCCACAAACCAAACATGCATACACATTCAAATTTGAAAGAGATACTGAACAAAATTTCTCAAAGTCAAAATCCAAGACCTGCAAAGATTAAAAAGAAAGAAAGAAAGAATCACTGAATCAATTCACCTTCATCCGACAAAACTACTCACTAATAATAAGTAAGAGCATAGTAAATAGACAATCTAGGGAATAGTACAACTCCAGACATGTGAAAGACTTCAATAAGTGAAATTCTCAGACACCTAACTTTCAAATTTTCTCAAACAGCAACACCTATATACACATACAACTCTATAATATATTATCCCAGCTCATACACTTTACAATAAAAAATAAATGGATATGGGAAACCAAATAACAAAAGATGATAAGAAGAAAAAGAACAGCCCTTGATTAGCATATTTTATCGGTGAAAGTGAAACAAAACCACCAAGGAAATTAATTATCAAAGACGCTGGTAATGGAAGTTGACAAGAGTTCAGTGATTCTTAGAGGTAAGCTATACAGCAATTTTAGTACCTGTCTATTAACCGTATCGAGATACGGACAGTCCCTTCTTACTTCCACCATGCGATTAGGCTGTCCTTGGCCTCCTGCTGTACCTTGATCCTCATCATCATCACTGTCTTCCTCATCATATGCACGTCCATTTTGCCCTACTCTCCCACTATTACTTATGACCCTATCCCTGCCCCGACCTTGTCTGCCATCAATGTCATCTTCATCATCGTCGTCGTATGAAGCAAGCGGAAGGAGAGGATTGTCAAATGCAAGCTGAGGCAAGGACTGCTCGACCAGCTTCTGCCTCTTGACTCCCTCCTCCTCAGCTACAGTGTCATCCTGCTCTTCTCTTTTTGTTTTCATTTTTACAGTGAAATAGTCTGTCCTCCAACTCACAGCCTACACAATTGAACAAAATTTCCATAAATCACTTTATTCACCTAGATGGAAACCACATCACTTAAGATAAAACATTATGTAAAAGATGAAAATTAATGACAAATTGAACTTTAATTTAGTAGTTCGTCAACACAACAGCAAAATCAAGCAGGATACAACAGTGAGGAAAAAAACGACCAAGATAAAAGCAAAAATTCAAACAAAACTACTGCAGCAAAAAACGAGGATAAAACAGACCCAGATGAAAGAAAGTCAGCACGGCAGAAAAAAAAATCAAATAAAAGAGTGATTTACTGGTTTTGAATTCGGTTTAGGGATTTTTAGGAAAAAGAGAATCATCGGCTCTTTGGGAACGTCCAGAGAAAACGAAATTTATTAAAACAAACTCAATGAACGCAATCTGTGTTGGAGTCTTGCATCTCATTTTGACAGCATGGAAATAAAAAAGAATGAAGAGAAGTTGAAATTGAAATTGAAAGAAAAACCAGCTGGGAAAAGAAGCTAGCTGTTATAGTTAGTTAGTTGAAGTTCAAGTTAGTTAAGTTAGTTACTGTGTTATTCATTTGTTTGTTTAGTTAGTTTAGTTTGTTGATTCCCTGTATAAACATGGCTTGTATCGGATGTAAAATCAAGAGAATATGATTCATCAATGAAATATGAATTTCATGTTCAAGTTTTCTTTCTTCTTCTTTCTCTGGTTTTCTCCCGTTTAGTCTTGGAATTCAACATGGTATCAGAGCTAGTTTCATCTAGCTGAATGCTTCTGCAACATCATCTGCTTGTGCTCTGCAAGAATTAATTTCTCTTTACAGAAGTTCTGCTCTGGAATTTCCTACATTAAGTTCCCAACATGAATTCTGAGGATTCGTCCATAAATCCTCCTGCAAATTCAAGCAATTCTTCCATTAATCCTTCAGACGATTCCTCAATTCCGTATTATCTCCATCCTAGTGACAATCCTGGTGCTTTGCTGCCATTGAAGTGAGCACCCTGTCGTAAACTTCAGGCCTCGTGGGATTAGTCGAGGTACGCACAAATTGGTCAGTACATCCACAATTATAAAATTAAAAAAAATATAAAATTAAAAAAAAAANAGATCATTTCCACAACTTCTGCTTTTGCTATTACCCATTCACAGCTAGACATTTGGGATTATAGGCTAGAACACATTTCTAGTTCAAGACTGCCATCTCTCAAGCAAATAGAACCATCTATCAACATTGATTGTACTCATATATGTGAAATATGCCCTCTAGCCAAACAAAGGAAACTTCCTTTCTCCATATCTCAAAATAAATCAAATAAAAAGTTTGAATTGATTCATTGTGACATTTGGGAGCCCTTTGGCACAGTTTCTTATTCTGGCTTAAATATTTTCTGACTATAGTGGATGATTTTACAAGTTGTACGTGGATTTACATGATGAAAGTAAAATCAGAAACTTCCTCTTTAATTACTGCACACATTATCAACAGAACAATTAAGCCATGTTGTCGAAAGAATTTGACATATTGGATGATCTACTCTGCCATGTGCTTGGGCCCCGCATGGGACCCACGTGAATATATAATGCAAAAAAATCCCCCCATCCACCCCCAACTGTGAGTGTATGTCACTTAGGGTGTCAAATTCTTTCTGGTACCCTAGCATGATTGATCAACAGAATACCCACACCTCTTCTCTAAAACAAAACCCCCTTCGAAATGCTGTTCAATAAAGCACCAAATCTTTCCCATCTCAAAGATTTTGGTTGTCACTGCTCTGCCTCAACCTTGACACAACATAGACAGAAGTTCGACTCAAGAGCATCAAAATGCTTGTTCCTAGGATATCCTTCTGAATTCAAAGCATATAAACTGATGGACCTAACCTCCAATAGAATATTTATCTCTAGAAATGTCATTTTCCACGAAACAATATTCCCTTTTAAAGGTCTTCCATCTCATTCCATGCAAATCGGACACATCAATAAAATACACAAACTAGAAAATACACGGTAAGGATAAAATGCATCGGACTAACACCTGTTGGGGGTTTTCTGGCGGCCAAGTCGCCGATGTGTCTCCCGCCAATGTCGCAGATTTTGCTAGTGCATATGGATCGCAGCACTCGTATAGGTTTTCCTTCTATTCCGAATTCCAAATGCTAGGTATCGAGATTCGAGTGTGTTTCGCTTTAGGGCGTGTTTGGCTAGGAATAGGAAAAGTAAATGTTCTTTTAAAGGTAAATTACAAATTTTGTCCCTCCCTATTTTTCTTTTTGACACCAAACACCCCAATCTTTTAGAAATTAGCAAAAATGTCCTCGATGACAATCAATGAGATTTTGCCAGCAACTTTGAGGGTAAAATGGGAAATCAATTAACCATTTCCAAAAAAGAAAGATAAATGCAAGAAATTAAAAAGAGAAATGATATTTTCTTCCATCTACGACCCCACTCACAAGCACAATCACGACCATCAATTCAAGCTCAAAGAGTCCATAAAAAGAATTAGAGCGTGTTTGGTTAAATTTAAAATTCAATTAAAATTGAAAATATAGTCGTTATTGAATCTCACTCATATAATAAAAGTCAACAATAACAACTAATTTTTTAATTTTAATCCGATTTTAATCTCTACCAAACACGCCCTTAAGCTAGTTTGCCCGAATTGATTTGCCCCCCTGATTAACATAACCTCAAATGAGTGTGGGATCGACGTGGAACTTGCGTGAAATAAAAAATGAAAAAAATGTTTCCCCTCCCCCCGATGTGTGTGTTCTGTCAGAGAGGGTGACACCCTCCCTGACACTGCAGTTCGATCCCCATAAAAATCACCTAAAAGTGTAGACAAGCTCATTATCCGAAACAAATTGAAATTTGAAGAATCCATAGGTATTAATTATTTATCTATCACACATTTTTATCTATTTATTAACTTTCTAACCATGTCGTTGATAAAACATGTGTTAAACTTGAAAATTACTTTCAAGTAACATGTTTTAGAGTTTGTAAAAAAATGTAAGAGTTCAAACACATTTTATTTTTTTTTTAAGTCTTTATTTTTCTTTTAAATACTTTTACTTGCTTCTAAGCTTAGCCAAATTATGCTTGTAAAACCTTTTATTCTGAGCTTACTAGAAAATTAGACAAACTGTTATGGTAAAACTTATATAAAATAATAATATTGGAACCGAAAAAGTTATTAGTTTATGAATAAATAAATAATTCGATAATTATGTTAAGTCATTTATAGTCAATACTACAAAAATGTGATGGATACCGAACACATCTTAAATTATCTTAGTAAAAATGATATACAATGGAATAGCCTACTCCGACAAAAATATTGTTCTAGGAGTAACGTACTGAGAATGATCAGGATTTAGATGACATTTTAATGAGTGTTTACTCGATGGAGTCTTTCGAGCCTCCTAACTTTAAATAATTTTTTATACTAAATGAAAAACATATACCAAATGTGATACATATAGATTAGGTTAAGATGAATGCAAAAGAAAGAGCAATCAACTTTAATTGTACATTTCTTAAAACATTGAATTGAAAAAATATTAGTTTTGAAGTTAAAAAGTTTCTTGATGTTGTAAAACTATAGATAATAATGAATGAGCATTTGATTTTGTATATAACTTTCTTATTTACTCTAAAAGAATATATTTTATTAAATCCCTGTTTGGTATAGATTAAAATCAAATTGTCAGTAAATTTTGATAAAAGTTGATGAAGTATGTGGTTAAAAATGATAGTCTCATGAAATATGTGGTTCAAAAGGTGTGGATCTCATGAAATTTTTAATAAAATTAATTGTTAATTTTGACTTCAATTTTTTATTGAGTTCTAATCCAATAGGGGCTAAAATTGTTACTCTTGTAAAAACCTTACAAGTATCATTTTTCTTATTTCCTAGTTTTTTAAGCCCTTGTTTGAGCCCCCATTTTATCAAAAATTTATTTTTTAAAACTTATTTTTAATCATATATATTTCAGTCAAATAATATTAAACGTAAATCGAAAAAAAATTCTTCGTTTTTAACCACACATTCCCCAAAAATCACTATTCAAAATGCATTTTTCTCTCAAAATAGATCTCAAACAAGGGCTAAAAATTAACGTGTATCATATTACAAGTTTAAGCAATTATTATTTATATTTATGTTAACGAGATTATTAATTTAGTAAAATCTTTTTAGCTATGTCATGTAACAATGTAAGAATACTCGAAAGCGAAAAAAATGACTAAGAACATATAGATAGAAAGAAAGAGGGGATTTTGTTAAAATGTCAATGTCAAGTTCAACTTTATTGAATGATACTCAACAAATTAATAAAACCTAACAACTGAATTTATCAATCTCGTCGTCTCAATCTTAGGCAATTTCTTTCTTTCCTTCCTTTCCTATCGTCTGCTGATGTGATCACTTTTAGTAACAAGTCTCAGGTTATGCAGTAGCCCGCCAATCCTTCTTGATCTCAAATGTATAGTTCATCTCCAAGTAGCACCGGTTGTCATCATCAAGAAACTGCACAAACGACATCAAAGAGATGGAAATGTTAATAAGAATGAAATTATGTATCGTCCAGTCTTGAAAATGTAAAAGAATATGGAGATCTGCAATCTTTTTGACCAGCACAAGAGCAGAACAAACGTAAATTCAGGTTCTGAACTCATTTTCCAAAGACATTGCTCAACGATCCCAGCAGTTCTAACCTGTTATAGTGAGATCGAGCTCTTCTATTAAGAAAGTAACTTTTCTGAACTAACTATCCGATTACAGATAGTCGCATATTACATAAGCTTCTGATATGAAATATTGAGTCATTGACAGGCAATTTGTCATAAAGCAATAAAGATAACAAGAGAACATAAATGGTCGAATGGTCAATGGTATAACAAGACATGATCAATGGTCGAATTCACCTGTGTTTTAGCTGAATACGATCCTCTAGCAAACATGCCAGATGGGGTCGTCTCCTCCGGCATCTCGTGTGTGTAAGGTTCTAACTGAGGGCTGAAGGTTCCAATCATTTCTTTTGTGCTGTCAACTGAAACGGTGTTTGTGAAAGGGTAAATTTCAATAAAAAACTTCAACAATTCCATCAATGTTCAAAAAGAAACACAGAATATGAGGAAAGTGAACCTTTGATGCCAGTTTTCCAAACAGTGTTCTTATACTTGAGGCCTGAAACAATATTGTTGCTGACCTGGAATGTAAATTTAAGGCTGTAACGACTTCCCTCTTTCAAAGTAAACCAGGAGCCTTTCGGGTTTCCAGTCTCAGGGATTACAAGAAAAATATCATTTCTACCCTCGGATTTAATGGCCAGACTCAAGATTTTGACATCTGGATCCAGAGTTTCTACAATGAGACAGTCATGACAAAAGACGGTCAATAACCACAATCAAACCTGAGTCATCGTGCAATTTGACCTACGTCTCTAGCTCACAGGTGAGATTGACATACCGTCCTTCGCGTACATATAAGACCAAATCCATTCAACTTCTGAAAAAGATTACTACTTCGAGGAATTTTTGACCTTGTTCCATACGAGCAAGTCAGAAAGATTGAGGAATAAAACCATCTAATTTGATTCGTTTAGATTGAGTGACATAGCATACTCACCAATCCAAGGATGATTTTCATGTAACATACTATTGAAGAAAAGGTTAGGTCCTAGGGAAAATGTTGAAGCTCGTTCTTTAGGTTCCATAATTTTAAGTCGATTTTCCTCCTACCAATGTACATTCTTTCATCTAGACAGATGTAACAAAATCCATCGACATTTGATGAATTTTGCTGTGCAAGTTTTTAACGGGCAATATATAAAATAAGAAAAAACAAGTTTTAAAAAGAAAAAGAATATACCTCCAACAGAATTCACATCAACACTCCCAAGAAGTTGTTCTTTCCACCTCCTCAAACTTTCATCCTCCTAAATTCTCAAAAACATTATTACAAAATGAAATGGAAATTAAGAAACATAAATTAAGGAAAAACACGAACCTTATCCTTCTCAGACAGTTCTTTGAGAGTGCATTGAGGACCCAACTGGATTTTAGACTCAGTATCTTCATCATCTTCATCCTCAGTTGTATACAGAGAACCCTCACTCATTTGCCTGCTAACCCTCCCAGTAGTATCAGGCTCAATTTCAGAGTCAGCATGATCTGCGCCTGTTGGGTCCCCCTCTTTACCCTCCTTGTTTTCGTCAAATCCCATGGCTCCAACAGCCAAAGACATCAACAATCACAGTCAAGGTTTTGGCTCAAGAATGGAAGATTTCATAAATAGAACCCCACCCACCCACCTACCCAATGCAACGAAATTGAAAAGAAAAGAGAGAGAGAGGGCAAAACAGAAAACGAAAAGAATCTGCTTTTATATAGAATTGTAAAGAAACAAAATTGAGGGTAATAAAAAATTATTACGGTGAGTCAAAAAAAAAGGAATTCAAGAAAGGATAAACAAACCCTACAAAGGATAAGGCTTCTAAGAGCGAAAGAGAAAAGGACACCAAGAAAAAATAATAATACTACAAGAAAGAGAAAGAGAGCCAGAGAATTTATGAACTGAAGGAATTGGTCATGTGGTTGTGAATAAATGAATCGCCAGCAGAGATCGTGAAGGGCACTTATCAAAAAAAAAAACACGATTCAAGGGGATTCCAACACAGCCAGCCTAGGCTTGGATGGATGTACAGGTAACTCAGTAATTTGACATATTCTTATTGGTCAATGATTGGATCGGATCGGATCGGATCGGATCGGATGTGGAGTACATGCACCCTATTTCAGCTAATTATAACTCCCACTTGTACTTCAGATTGAGGTGCAGTGCCAGTGCCACCTCTTTGCTTTGCTTTCATCAAGGTTCACGTGGCTAACATAAAGATTTACAGGGAGGGACAGACAGGTGGCTTTACTATTCCTTATCAGTAACGGTTGTCCTAACTTGATGTCAATTCGACATTTTACCGTTCAAAATATTTGCCTTAAAAAGAGGGGATTCTTGTTGTTTGATTACTGACTTTGTCAAATCAATCTGCATATATTTTCATAATTATCTCCATAAAGAATAAATAAATCATAAAGTAATTGTATAGTTGTATAAATATATGTAAAAGCTCGTAATATAATTTATCGAATCTTCTAAAAAATAGATGTGGATTGAGAAATAGTAACGCAATTGGTCCCAGAGAATTATTTCGATTTTATTTCAACCAGGAGTGATGTTATTCATCCCCAGTGGGGATGAAAACACAGCTTAGTTGACTGTAAATGATAGGTGAAATGAAAGGTGAAATTAAATGACTTATTTAATTTCACCTATCATTTCATGTCACATTAGCGTCACCTAAACTGTGTTTTCATCCCCAGTGGGGATGAATAACATTACTATTCAACCAGGGGATTCTTGTTGTTTGATTACTGTCTTTGTCAAATCAATTTACAGATATTTTCATAATTATCTCCAAAAAGAATAAATAAATCATTAAGTACTTGTACATATGTAAAAACTCGTAACATAATTTACCGAGTCTTCTAAAAAATAGATGTGGATTGAGAAATAGTAACATAATTGGTCCCAGAGAATTATTTTGATTCTATTCCGACCTCTAGTAGACTTTACTCGAGGTTTCTAACTGAGACGTATGATTGGATTGTTAATAATGATGCATGATTTTATTATTCTTCCTGTTGTCAATTATGCCAACATAATCAGATAATATGGTGAGATGTCACTAACCATCATTTCATAGTGTAATCACAGTAACCATTTTCAACTTATTTTTCTTCTTTTTCTTTTTTGGATTATCTCACCCATCTTGTCAAACATGTCCAAACATGTCGTAAACTTTCGGGCCATTGCTTGCACCAAAATGGCATTATTATAAGCTTGTTTGGTAACACTAAAATTTCAATTAAAATTGAAAATATAATCGTTATTGAGTCTCACCCGTGTAATAAAAGTCAACAATAATAGCTAATTTTTCAATTTTAATACGATTTTAATATCTACCAAACACACTCATATCAACCATGTGCATACAAGAGGAAAGTATGAAGGACAAAATTTTCTAGCTAAATCATATGAGAACACCAAACACCCTCAACCAATTGAAGATCTTCCACAAAGTAAGCTCAGCTAGCATTTTAAATATGAAGTCATCGTGCTCGCTAAACTGTACCAAAATCGGTATGAAACAATGTTTCTATGTTTCGGTGGAGAAATTTTCACACTAGGCCGCATCAAATTGCACATAGAACTAAGGCAGTCAATCGCTTCCCCATTTCCCCACAACTCGCTCTTTGGCTGAAACACGTGCAGTCACTTCCTGTTGAGGAATAGTGGCAACATCGGTATGACTACGACCATATACCCTATTTGTTACCTTCGACGTCAGAAAGGTGAACCCAGTCCGCGTTCCCCGCAAAGCAAACAACAAAGGATTGAAAATGACAGCAAGTAATACATCCCCTTTTGCAACTATCAGACACTGTAGATGAACAAACAAATGTAGGAATAAGATTCCAAAAGGGACAAGAAGGAAAAATGCCCAAATAAAAGTCACAGAAGAAGAGCTAGAACAAGTGCATACCATGACCAGGATACCCAAAATCGTAAGACTTGCTTGCTGTGCTTCCTGCCAGAAATGATCACCATTGGATCCACCAAATCGTCCTCCCCATCCAAACCAACCACCTCCTCCTGAATTATTTCCTCCACCTGCTTCTTCTCTATTTTTTATTTCCTTGTCCCACTTCTCAAACTCCACTTTCTTTCCACCTAGGGCACTTTCTAAAGCTTTTCTAGCCTGTTCCTGTGATTCGAAATCACGCGAGGTAAATTAACAAGACAAAAAGAAAAGTAGGAAAACATAACAAAGCAACAATGGAGTGATATTTGGTGCTAAAATGCTCACAACACCATATAAGTCCTCCACAGCTTTTAAATACTTCCAAACCATGAGTCTTATTCTTTTATTTGATGTACGCAACTTCCCTTTCTATAAAAATAATCCTCAGTCCAAAATTGCTGATTTTAGCGATCAGAGCAGGATAGTTTTGCATAGGAACATATTATACAAAGAGAGTAATTGGTAGAAGTTATCCACTCATACAAATTTGCTCCAACATGTCACGCATAAAGAAGATTTATTGACAGGTATTGAAAATGTTTTGTGATCTGCTTCTGATGAGGCTTAGCTTGATGCCAAGCTGGAGTTGTGCCTATAGCGAACCCGCCAACATTGAGATAGGAACTTAAAAGTACCCAGTGCCGAGAAATAGAAGATAGTAGTGAAAGGTATGTGTCAGCAACAGAATATATATCGATGCATAAAGGGATTCACTTGAGAAAAAGCTGAAACAACAGATGAAAGCTGAAGTTTGATCAGAGAAATCTGTTTAGATGTACAAATAAAAGAGCTTAAAGCCATTGGAAAGACAATTATAAGTTACTAAAAAAATATAATATGTGAAAGATGAAAAAGAGTTAAAAAGCGTGAACATATAAACTAACAGGTTAACTATATAAAAACTTGAAAGAGCAAAAATAGAGTAAGTAAACAAAATTTAGTCATATAATCAGAAGAAATCATCACGGATGGTATTGATGCAATTGCAGAAGTTAGCTTCACACATTTTTGCTAGATTCAAACTTGCAGCTTAATGTGATGCACTTCTTTATCTTTTTGATTTCTGTTAAGCAACAACATCTTTGCATCCATGTACGGAAATTGAGGCCTAGTTTTCCCAACTGAACACAATTCATGAATAAAAAACATTCTAAACATCATATTTCGGATTCCTGAAGAAGGTCGACTTTTTCTTAAAATTTATCTGCCGATCTCTTGTGCAGAAAATAAATTCAAATCTAATAGACGCTAGGGCCTCAATCTCATATCAATGAAGAGTACGCCACAAGTACAAAAGAAAAGTTATACAAACAATCATGACGTGCATATTGGCACTTGCAAATACCAGTAAATTTTGGATGAAAAAATGTGCAATTGACGTGCAGTCCAAACAAAAGTTTTTATATTTATTTGTACCAGCTTCATTAAACTTGAATAACATTTGGAGCAGCTGTTGAAGCCAATTCAAATAGGATAGATTTCCACATTTTCATTTCAAAAATTTGCCTGTAACAATCTCCCTAGCCATTCAAAATTCTCATCGTCCAAAATTACATCTCTCTTCACCCTAACACAATTAGATAATCACTACTAGCAGCTTCAATATAAAAAGTGATCAAAAAAATTAACAATAAAAACAGCGTTTACATATTAGTATTTCCTTCTTCCAGCTCAAATTGAGAGTTCATTCCTACTTTCGAGTTATTGTAATCTATCTACGGAGAAAAAACAAATTGATTTCATAATTTTTTTTCCTTCCCACTAAATTTCATCCAATTTCCAGAACGCCGAGTAACAATCTCCCAAACCATTCAAAACTTTCATCGTCCAAAATTACATCTCTCTTCACCCTAACACAATTAGACAATCACTACTCGCAACTTCAATATAAAAAGTGATAAAAAAATAATAATGATAAAAAACCACGTTTACTTATTAGTATTTCCTTCTTCCCACTCAAATTGCGTGTTTATCCCTACTTTCAATTGATCGTTATCTGTGTACGGAAAAAAACTAATTGATTTCATCATTTTTTTTCCTTCTCTCTAAATTTCATCCAAAATCCAGAACGGCGAGTAATAGTAGAAAAGGAAATTAATAAAAAAAAATCAAAATTGCAATTTAACAAAATTAAGTAAAGTGTAGGAGAAGATTTGAGCTAAATACCTTTTTGCCATTGTCAGAGAATAGACAAGAAAACCGTCCGCTGCACTTGAGGCTGTGTTGGAGAGAAGTCCAGCTGCGAGTTGGCTGAGTCGGGGAGGCGAGTTTAGACAGAGCCGAAACGGGTTGGTGGCTTGAGATTTGAGTTGCGTTAGGGATTGGCGGGCGGGGGCGGAGGCTCAGAACCTGCGCCATGGTTCTCTGCACCGGTAATTCTGCTCTTGCTATATATACCTAGGTAAAATGAATATGAAGTAAATCCCCAAATCCTCACTCTCACCCAACTGGCCAACTGTGCTTCAACCAAAACCAAAGTTTATTTGTTATTCATTTCTATGATGGTAAATTTCGTTGGAGGTCACTAAACTATTATTCAAATTGCAATTAAGTCGTTGAACTTCAATTTACACGCACAACTTAATTTCAATTCAATTTAACAATTAAAACACACTCATTAGAACTATGTAAGACAACTTAACAAAATTTGCTAAGATTGCAATTAAAATTAATGTATGCATACATAAAAAACTACGTGCACTTAGCTAATTAAGTCCAAAATAGGAATTAGACTCGATATTATTAGAAATGTCCAAAAAATATCATGCTCGTAATGCAAAACCATGAAAAGGAAAAAAAGAAAAAGATGATCTTTTTAACAGTTTTTCAATTTTAATCTGATTTTAATCTCTACAGAACGGGCTCTAGGTTAATGTTTTGGCTCCATGATGCACAGTCCAAGCTCTAAGCAAGAAGCGAGTTTGACTTAAAATCCACACAATTGGGTCGATTTTCAAAATTGAGAAGTCACAAGATTTGAAGTCATTAAAAGCCCATATTTTCGNAAATTGAGAAGTCACAAGATTTGAAGTCATTAAAAGCCCATATTTTCGACCGCTCAAGCCTTCCTTTCTATTTTTACCCTTAAGAGTATCTCTGAAAAATTCTATATTTTTAAAAAAGTATATTCCACAATTTAGAGAGCATTTAAAAATTTATAGAGTAAAAATTTTTCAATATAGGCTCTTTATATTTAACACTTAATTTTATAACTCCAAAAAAATATTTATTAGTTTTTCATATCTTTTATTCTAATTAACTTCCCTCCAAAATATTATATTATTTTCCTCTATCAAATATTGGAATATTTTGAATACCTTTAATTATAGAGAGTGAATTTGATTCTTTTTAAACATATAGAGCATTTTTATAAAAGGGTATATTGTCTGTAATATAGCCCCGTTTGATCTACATTATTATCTCATTAAAATGAAAAATATAATCGTTATCCATCACATCAACATTTAAATTCAAATTTTCTATTTCTTATGTGGCCCAATAATTTGGCTGAAACAGGACCATAAATTATTTTTAAATTTAGAGAATAAAGTTTGTTATACACTTTAATAATATATATTTTTTATTTTGGCTTTTTATTTTATTTTTTCAATAATGGTTTATTATTTTCCCTTCATCTTTTATATAACATTTTTAAGCCGTCAAAGATCAATAGACTCAAATATGGCTATAATAATTTGTGAAGTAGAGCATTAATATATGCCACTGTTTGAACCTCATTTAAGAAATAAATTATTGAAATATGCTACTTATTATGCCATTTTTTAACCTCTACTTTCTAAAATTTATTTCTCTCAATTCATTTTTAAATATACACTTCATGTGACCAATGGCTTTCATCAAAATCTATTGAAGACCTAATTTCTAGATAAATAAAACATGAACAAAATGCAATCACCTGGGAGCAATTCTTAAGCAATTTTAATTAATTTTGTGGGAAAATGGCACAATGATGATTGGGCTTGATCCTGATTAAATGGGCTGAAGTAATGCTGTTGGGCTGGATTG